CGCAGGTAAGGCTTATTTAGTCGTCTACGATTCCTACTCGAATTTTCCGGAAGTTTCTGAGCTGCCGGACACGACGTCTAAAACAGTTATTGACGTTCTGTCAAGCATTTTTTCAAGACACGGAATACCTATGGAGGTATGTACAGATGGAGGACCACAATTCACTCCACGAGAGTTCACAAATTTTGCTGCGCGTTTTGACTTCGTGCATGTGACCTCTAGTCCTCACTTTCCCAGGTCCAACGGCCACGCCGAGAAAGGGGTTCAAGTAGTAAAGAGGCTCCTAAAAAAATGTCTACATTCCGGCGAAGATTTTTGGCTAGGTTTACTTAACTATAGAGCGACGCCACTCGAGTGTGGAGAAGCGCCTGCAGAGCTACTGATGAAGCGTAGGCCGCGTACTCTTCTTCCAGACTTCACAGCCCGGCCCGCTCGCGCCTTGCGCAAGCATGCTCAGAACTTGCATCAGGGACACCAACTACCTCCACTGGAAGATGGTGATTGTGTTAGAGTCAGAGGCCCCAAATCATGGGGCACGAAAGCGCGGGTGGTGGGCAGCGGAGGGCCAAGATCCTACCGGGTTTACACAGAAAGGGGACGAGAAATACGCCGGAATCGTCGACATCTTTTAAAAATTCAACAAAAGGCCTCTTTTTCAGATGAAAGTAGTTCTGACGGGTACGAGACTGCAGACGAAACTCTGCCACCACAGATAACTTCTCCAGGAAGCGGCCTTGGTAGCACCAGCAGTCAGCATCCGGAAACCCCACCATCGCCGCCGCCGCCCCGAAGATCATCCCGACGAGTCTCTCCTCCGCATCGTCTAACCTATGACGAGAACTTTGAGCAAGAGGGATAGTTTTCTTTTGTGTGTGTTGTGTGTGTGTAATGTATATATGTGTCGAAGTTTTATTTCATTTTTTTTTTAAAGAAAGGAAGGTGTATCGGCCATTGGCCTAACACGACCAAGCAGCACGGGGGGCTGGCTTCACGTGCGAATAAAAAAGGGCACGCGCTGTTCCAACCGACGGCAGCAGCCATGGCCACACCGATTTGCTTCTCTGTCCTTCTTATCTAAACGATACGGCAACATATACAATTTTTGGACATACAGTCGACTAAATGTTTATGACTTTTTTGATACAAGATATCAGTCTTTTCACATTTACTGGAAGTTTAACTAAACCATATTAGCATCATGCCTACAGACATATCTGAAACGAAGCGAACATTTGCCTGACCGGGATTTCACTTCAATAGCTGAGGTAAGATACTTATTTATTTTGGGGGCTAATAGAACGTCTAAATTTGTGGGTGTTTGTATATAGAACATGTGCTGTTCAGTGTGTATTTATCGCTAGAATTTGTCATTGTGTGTGATTTAATTTCACTGAAATGAAAGTCGTGCTGATTTGCATCTTTGATATTATGAGCTCACTCAGGACTGGATGCAGATGCTTAAAAAACTATTTGAGAGTAGGAATACCAAAATAGACGTAGAGTCAAATCACAGATACGGGTATACATTTCACTTTTGTATGACGGGAAATGCCAGAGACACTTTTGCATAAACGGTAATAGGGTATCAAGAAATACAAAAAGAGATACATACCGAAATGCAATCTTTCCAGAACCGTGGTTGGTGCGGAGGGTGCAGTTCATCGCAAACGCCAGAGGGAGTCCTCGTATTTTTTGTCATTGATGCCACACCCCTTACCATGAACTCTAACTATTCATGGCTACAATCTCGAATGCCTATAAAAATGTTAGCGACATAGTAGTGGAGGGCGACGACTGGTTGCCATGCTTCACAATACGGATCTGCCCTAAATGAGCCATGATTTGCCTTTTGTCCCTTTTGCAACATTATGCTTTTTCAATGCTGCATTTGAGTTCTTGTGATGCCTGCCTTCAGATGTCTTCCGAGTGTTATAAGTATAAGTTTTTGTGTTCAGGTAAATACAGATAAACTCCGGAAATTAATCAAGAGCTGGTTTTATCAGACTCAGGGAAGAACAAAAATCTCCGAATTAGAGGAGTTCCTGAATAAAAAAGATTTTAGCGTCACGACGAAAAAATCAGCATTTAGAACTTTGTTTTGTGTTGACCGGGAACACAGCCCGCACTGCTCGAAAACCTTCCACACTGTTAAAGTACAGTCTTCGAGGCTGCTGCTTATTTTTATATTTTTTAACTAATGTTTTATTTTATTATTATTTCCTTCTGTCGTTTGCTCTGAATCGTTTTCTAAGTATACCTGTTACTCCCGTGTTCCTTAGAGGTTAGGCAGTACCGTGCCAGTGTCCTATCTTGATTAAAATTATCAAGAAAAATCCCGTTCTTTTGCCCGACACCTACATTTGAAAAAAAAAAACAGCAAATTTTGATTTAAAAATTTCAGAATTTAAAGAAAAAAGAAATTTTGTAAACACAGCACCCCTGTTATCACATAGCGGTCTTGTCCTCTAAGATTCTTGGACAGAAAACTTTAAATTGGACCACGCCGAAGGACCTGCCTGCATAGGGACCCTAGTTACTGCGCAACCTACAGGAAGCAATGGGGATCCAGACACCGTTATTGAAAGCCCTGCCTTTTTACCTTTATGTTTTGTTTCGTTTTTTTTTTTTCAATATTAGCGACTTGCGATCCATCGGGCTGCCATGCTTCCGCCTGAAGAGGAGGTTGTGCAGCGGACTCATATAACAAATTTTGCTACACCTCGCATTGAAACAATCGTTTCCATTGCATAAAACTAACAGCAAGGGAATTCGTTTTTTACGGAAAATGTAGAGATGCGTAGTCCTGGAACAATATTCGGATACGATAGATACGCCGTAAATGAGTTTGCTGCTGTAATAGAAATACATTTCACAAATGTATTTTTATGCCGAGATATTAATGTATCTTGGTACCGAAATAGAAACTATCTTGATTGTATTTCGAGATACCATGAAGGCACATATTGATCGGTGTAATTCCCAGGCCTGAAATCTTCGAAGCTTTTTGAGTTTATAAAATAGCATTTCCTTCCCAAGAACAAAAGGCAGGCAACAGTTGCGGTAGGTCGAACCTAAGAAATCGTCTTCAACGAGTAGCGGCTGGAAACTTTCAAGCCTGTCTTCTTAGTGAGAAAGCCTTGAAAGCTTAAAAGCCTACAATCATATATCAACTTCGGAGTTGTCAAAAAGCACACATGAAGCATACAGTAGCCAAAAAGCACAAAAAGCACACAGACACACAAATAAATTAAAACTAATGAGTAACTATCGATTCAACATGCAAGCCTATGTTTAAACCTCATCGTTATTGTGATATTCGGCTTACATATATCACAATCACCGCCCCAGCTCAAAGAAAAAAAGAAATGGAACTTTAGTGAAAATGAAAATTTAGGGGAGGGGAAGTGCGTATAACGAACGGATAGCGAAACTGTTTCGAAATTTTAAAAGAATGTTTTTATTTAACTTCGTTGAGTACATGGCCCACACATATTTGACGCGTGTTTTAACTTTTTATCACACTTGGATCAAATGGTACTGAATGTGCAACAGACTGCACAAGAGGACTAAGTTGAAATAAAAAGGGTGGGTACATGACAAACATGACTGCCTAAAAACCTTTCCCGTGAACCATACATTAACATCTTGAAACAGTTTCGAGCGACCGTCAGGCACAAAAATACCTGGCAGGTGCAGCAACAAAAGTTGGTTCTCTGCGAACAATCAGGATTTCTGCACCTGCTGGCAAATTTCTGGTTAACGAGTTCAGGCATGTGGGAAGCAGCGTACAGCCGGTGATGGCAGGGGCATTACTGCAGGCTTTCGAACTTGCAAGGTGACACACTCGCCATCAGAGAGGGCTTTTGTTTTCTCTGCAGGTAGGAGATAATGCGACAGCTGAAACTTGAAGTCCAGCAGTTGCATGTCCTTCTTTCTTGAAGAATATAGTTCAACTTGGTCCGCTTTGTGGAGGAGCCAGGAGTTGACAACTCCAACATCGATCATGAAAATGATCGTCCGAACAGTCCATTTCCCTGTCCGCGTGGTCGTTGGATAGAAACTCAACATTCTGTCGCACAAGTCGACACCCCCCATGAAAGTGTTGTACTGAGCAACAATTAGTGGTCTCGTGACTTTGATTTGCTTCCTGTCTTCCTTTGAGAAGCGTCTGCATTCAACAGTAGGTTGTATGTCAACATGGGTGGGTGCCAACATGATCGGCTTTTTATCATACCACTTAGCGAGCTCTAAATCAGAATCGTCACCGTTTGATGCAATCTTTCCCAGGAGAACAGCAGCTAAGGATTCATCAGGACCTAAAAAAGTACACTGTTTATGTTCATTTACCCTGATAATGACAGAAAGGCCAGTCTGACGCTTAGGCAAAACATGAATGGCAGCAATGAACGTGGTCCCTATATGCAACATGTTGAACATCGAAGTTCAAGAGGGAATGTTGCAAAAACGAAAGCCATTAATATCCAACCACACACGTCACAGATGACAAGGACCTTTTATGAGTCCTAAAAACGCAAGATTAAGCGAAAGGCTACCATTTTACAAACTCCACGCGCTACTTACCTTGGCGTGAACGATAGAACGACTTCGCCGAGAAACGAGAAAAGAGTCAAAGTACAGGCTAGCTGGTGGAAGTCAACCATTTCGTCGTTTACCCTGAGACTGGGTTTTTTTTTAGAAGAGCAGAAGTAACAGAAAAACAGACAGGTCTCAAACTCAGCTCAGTTTGAGCTGAGTTTGAGACCTGTCTGTTTTTTCTGTTACTTCTGCTCTTCTAAAAAAAAAAACCCAGTCTCAGGGTAAACGACGAAATGGTCGCCGAGAAAGTCGAAATTTTTGTTGTTCGATTCCAACAATTCCTGCGCCACTAGTTGAATGCCACGCCATCAGATGGCGGCACCTTAATTTGCTCTTTTCTGTAATCCTAATTACTGGGAGTGAGAACCTCGATGTGCAATAAGAAAGTTTGTCTCGGACAATAATGTATAGCAGGCAATATAATTTATTTGGAGTTCACATTCCATACAAAATATGCGAATACAAACGCAGTCTGGCATTCTGGACTGTTTCTCCTTGTCGACCTTTGAAAAACCCAGGATACAGCTTCCTATTTCTGTGAGTGGAAAGAAAAAAACAAGTGATTACAGCAATTATAGCAGCTCGTAGTCATACATTTAAAGCACTAGTTACAGTCAAGGTACCGCCTTCTGATTTATTCAATTAAAGGTTATGTCACGCTTCGGGGGATTATAAATGTTACGATAAAGGCCGTGCTCATGAAAACTAGAAATAATATAAATTATTAAATTAAGAATAATCCTTCTCTGACTCAAGAGCGAGTGAATGTATGCATAAGAAAGGCATAGCAAAACGATAGAATAGCTTACACTTCTTGCGGAGGAGGGTGGCGTAGTCTCCATAGGTGCCAAGACCATAACCGTAGTTCAGGCCGTAGCTGGAGAGACCATGTCCATAGCCGAAGTGTCCGAGACCGTATTTGAGGTGTCCAACACCGTAGCCGTAACCGAAGGCTGGAGCATGAGCAACGGTGGTGATGGCAGGAGCAGCGTGGTAGGCAGTGGCGACCTTGGCGACAGCTGGGGCAACAGCGTAGGAGGCGACTGGGGCAACGGCGTAGGAGGCAACAGCTGGGGCATGGTGGACAGTAGACACCCTGGTCACAGCTGGGGCAGCAGCATAGGTGGCGACTGGGGCAACGGCGTAGGAGGCAACAGCTGGGGCATGGTGGACAGTAGACACCCTGGTCACAGCTGGGGCAGCAGCATAGGTGGCGACTGGGGCAACGGCGTAAGAGGCAACAGCTGGGGCATGGTGCACAGTAGAGACCTTGGTCACAGCCGGAGCAGCGACAGCATAACCACTCAGGCCAGAGTGCGCAAAGCCGAGACCATGACCGTAGCCGAGGCCGCTACCGTAACCGAGGCCGTAGCCGTAGCCGAGGCCGTAGCCAAGACCGTAGCCAGAACCAAGGCCGTATCCGTAGCCGAGGCCGGAGTAGCCGAGACCGCCATAGCCAAGGCCTCCATAGCCAAGGCCTCCATAGCCAAAGCCTCCGAAGCCAAGGCCTCCGTGGACGTTGCCAGCGAAGGCACTGCTGGCCAAAGCCAGAAGGAGGCAGGCAGTGAGCTGGAAACGAAGAAATTTTGACCTTAGTTCAATATCTGTAGAAACTTAGAGGTTTATTGCGATCAACATTGTGCAATATTTAAACTTTATAAAATATATATTGTACAAACGTCAGGATTGCACAAATATGGTAATTTCAGCATGCACTAACCCCAAACATTATGATCAGCAACCTAATTCCGCGCACATCCATATTTGCCACGCAAAACATTTGCACTTCATTTTGACAAAAATTCTATAAATACGTGGTCATTGCCTTGAATAAGATTGTACCATATTTGTAAGCACAGGTCGCAACATTCTTGTAGATCACGACAAGGTGGTTTGGAATAAGATTGTACCAGATGTACTCGATAGGACTGACATTTGACGTGTTAGATGGTCAAGTCACCAACTGGAGTTCATCATGTTGATCCTCAATCCAACGTAGCACAATTCTGGCCTAATGACGTAAAGCTTAGTCCTTTTTAAAGGTTCCCGTTCCAGTGGACAGGGCAAGCAACGAATGGGTGTAGCTGATCAGCAGTGATCTTGACATCAGGTGCTGCCCTCTTTCAAAGTTGCTTTGATCGGTAACCTTCCAATTATACGCATGCGTAGTCAACATTAGGATACGTGTCTATCACTGGCAGCCGGTATCCAGCATCCACGTCAGAATATGGTATATAACGCTCATGGCGTGCCAGTTTGATGGTCTCATTCCTGCAACGTTGAGGTGGTCATAATGATTTATCTGATCAGCTGTACATCGAACCATATATTGTGTTAAATCTGCTTGCTATGCTCTCAAAGGTTGCCGGGCTACCATTGTAACACAAAGAATATACGTTTGTTTAAAAAGGTAATCAGTTCACACAAGGCTAAGACAAGATAAAGTGAAATGCGCGGTAGAATATCATGATGGAGAAACCAGAAAATAGGTAAAACAGTAATATCTTCGCTTTAAATACGCAGCTGGAGAAGTATAGTCCTATGGAGAGATACTCACTCCAGTCATGGTTCTTATGGAGTGCGCAAGTGCGTCCAACTGCTGCCTGCGTTCGACTTACGTGCCTTTTTATAGGAAATGTAGACCCGTAAGAGAGCTTCAGCATAAAAAAGTAACGCCATTTAAATTCAAGAATTCGAAATAGAGCTACATGATCTGAGGATTAATGAGATATTCAACCAAACCTAGACGAAGCATTGTGCGCTGCGCATATTATTATTCAGTGTTGGTGCCCAGGTAATTAAATCTTCTCACAACAAAGACGTGACTGAAACAAAAGAATAAAAACACCCCCAGAATGTGACCGTATAAGACGTGTGCCTCTTTGTCTTTTATGGCATGGCGCATCCACCGGAAAGTGTTAATTTTTCTTTTTACTTGGCTATGTCCCCTTATCTACTATTTTAACCACGGTCTCCTAGAGGCATATTAAAGTTCGTCTTGACAAAGATTATTTTATAATTTTGAAATTGTTTAAACTGTCTATATGTTTTGTCATGCTTGATAATCTCGACGAAATTATTTTACTTAGAGATGTTTTCGTAAAGTGTCATTATTATTTAATTATAGTGTCAGCTCTGGCTTAACATAATAGTACCTGACTCGCAGAAGTAACTTGGCAGTAGTATTTCTTTCTAGCGAGTCGCTCTCTGGCAACTTTGCGTTGCCTATCGTCCTTAATGCAACTTGCGTGTGCGATTGCGCGGCGACCACGCCACTATTACGCACCATGACCAAGGTGATATTATCAGTGTAAATGTATCGGTCTTGACATCTGAGCGTGCCCTAACGAACAGCAATAGTGGTAGCAGACGTTCGAGAGTAGAGGAGATATTAATATCAACCTTGAGCTTGACGAAGAAGCGGTAACTTTGCGGTTGAATTTAAAATAATAGCCGCGCTGGAATTCTCAATGTAAGCCAAAACTGAGTTTTAATATGATCTATTATAACTATAAACAGCTCGATAATGTTTATTTTGCGTGGCGGGACCGTTTTTTGAAGAGAAAGTACGTGATTCGGGCCCTTGACCGCTTAGAGACAAAGGGATATTAGTTCACGATGGTAATTGATGCTCCACCTTGGTACATTAGAGATGGGACGGCAAATGCTATTGATACGAATGGCAAGTGATGAGGCGGCGAATGACTGAAGAAACTGAACGGTCATAAACCAAATAGACTCCTTTTGTAATGTTAATAAGTATACAACATAGAATATGGCATTGCAGCTGAAATGCTAATTTCCACAAAATTACATTTAATTATAAGCAGGACCTAAATTTCCCATACCGTAGAAACCTTATTCATAGATTGTAGACAACAAAACCAGTGATCGACTTGAGTTCGCAACTGGCTCACTTCAAAGCAATTGCTTTCAATTATCCATAGGCGGCAGACCCGTAGGCTTGCGATTTTCAACAAAAAATAAAAAAAAAGGTTAAATGAAATGAAGCCACCAAAGATACGCGCCAACAAGCAGGAGCTGTCCTAATTTGTTCCCTTCAGTGTCACAGCGGTAGTAATGACAATATTTATTAAAATTAAAAAGAGCCACCGCAAGACTGGGAGGCGTGTAACCCACGCCATGAAGAGCTTCGGCGCCACGACTCCTTCTCTATTTACAACATTCTTGTGTTATGCACATTATATATATATATATATATATATATATATATATATATATTTGTGCCACCTACGGAACAAGAAGACCACTTTGGTGCACCTGCGTCCGTATCAACAACCATGAAACCTTCAAGTGAAGCTTCAAATCAATGTTTTCTTATTGGTTACTTTGCAATTTCCGCTACTAAAATCGCGGCGAATGTCATAATCCCGGCCAAACAATGTTCCCCAGTACCTGTTATCGTAAATATTGATACAAGAGGCTTCAACACGTGAATTACGGCACACAACTACAAATAGGCGCAAACGACCACCCAAGCACAGACTCCCTCAACCCATCTCAGCCGGAGAACCTTCTGCGGCACCCCAACGTCTGCTTTCGGCCTAATAACCCAGCATGGCTGTACAACCCGAGGCACGCCAGGAAGGGCTTGGTTGTTCAACATGGCGATTCCCACTAAAACAATATATTAACAGGATATCACTGTGCCTCTGAAGGGATTAAGCGTGGTGTCTTTGATTATTATCGAGCGATTAATAAATAAAGAAAGAAGAAAATCTGTTTGATTTGTGCTCTTTATTTCAGTCCAATTATTCGCCGTGTTTGTTAAAAAAGCGAAATGGTTTTTGTGTCGACCGGTTGAAGAAAGTCAACAATCAACTCAACTCCATTCCATTCAAATCGTTTATTTTCCAACGAGGAGTTGGAGTCATGTGCAAAAAGCTCTCAAAGATAGCTTGGGGTCGTCTGGGTGTGCACACAAGCAGCAGTGTTTCATCATGACATTTAAAAAAATTCAAACAAATGCAACGTAAAACTGGGGGTTTCTTCGACGGAAAATTTAAAGCGGGAAAGATTTGCGAGCTATAAGTTATTTCTTTTGATGAAAAGGCCTGAAGAATTTTTCTTCAAAGTGGGTTTCCTAGCAGCGCCGAAGCAATACAGTGAGGTGAATACCTTTACGGCCATTGCCTTGTTCGCATTATCCGCGTGAGGACTTGATTTGGCTCAGAGCCGACTTCACTACAAACACGCAGAGCTGCGGAAGATTTTCAGAGCACAACGCGCTTAGCAGAAAAAAGCGATTGGCAGTTTTTTTTATTTTATTTTTCTCCCGCAAGAGAACTTTTGTCAGAAGAATTGCTGTTACGATTACACGCGCTCACCCTGAGCAAATATTTAAATCATAAAACTTAGCCCCTGTTCAGGAACATGTTATCGGAACATGTTATAATTGCGCCGAAATCTTGATTGTGCTTCCTTGCAGAATGCACACCACCCATTTTAGGCATTATTGCATTTGAGACTCACCAGAGATCCTAAGCAATTGGAACGAATTACTTTTTTATATTGCTTAGCTAAGAATAAACAAAGGTGACCATGTTAACATATATGTTTTCCAAAGTGATTGATTTCATTCTTATGTGGTAATTTGAATTGTTTGGTCTTAGCACTTTGAAAATATTCCGTAATGTAGATGGGGGTTCTCCAATGTTTCGGTCTGTTCAATGCTGAGAAACAAAATATCATATGAGTTGCTTTGATTTTATGCTGTGTATATAATACGTTTTGTTCCGTTCATTTAAGTATGTGCTTATGCATATGAACCACTTTCTTTCGCTATGATGACCCGAGCATTCGAGTACCTTGAGCACCGATCAAAGCAGTGCACGAACGCTTTTTATATTTGAAATGTCACAGAACGTTGTCCACGAATGAATGTTAATCCTGCGTTCCAAACTGGGTATACCAGTTTTTTTTTCTTCTTTTTGTTCAGTACCAAGCTCTGATGCCCTACAAAGGTGGCGAGTCCTTTCATGTACTGGTTAACACAGAATTATTTGCGCTCCCTTCATTTTGTGTATTTCAAACTGTACTAAGCGTGAACTGAAGATATGCGTTCTGGACGGGGCACGGTATTGCGATACAAAGGTATCACGATAGGCTATTAGATATAATTTTGAGTATATGAATCTCTGTATGAAAATACATTTGAATAATGTATACGTATCTCATTAGTTAAATATATTTCCCACATAACAATTGCGTTGAATCACTCTGCTGGCTTATGCATAATCTTATATTTGGTGCAAATAATGAACTGTCTGATTTTTAAGATAAATTGTAATCCCCGTGTTTGCAGAACCTGCCGCATTATACCCTTTAAAGGGGCTAAGTTTAAACATGAAATAACGCTACAAACAAATGTGCGATGATAAGTTCACACTTCGATACTGGCGCCATCCAGAAGTTGCTCGTTCAACCACGTTACGATCCGCGCGCCATCTGGTGGCTGAAACGGACGAATAAATAGAGGTACGGCGCCCTCTTAACGAACCCCTCCACTCTTTGTACTACAGTGCACCAATTGCAGGAAAGGAGGCGAGAGGTGAAACAGGAACAAGCAATCATGGGCACTCGTAGAGTTTTTATTTATTTTGGTTCTTATTTTGCAATAGGTTTCGTGCAGACTAGAATGGCTTAGCGCAGAAATTTTCTGCTCTCTTCAACCTCTCCTGTCTGTGTAGATCAGAAGCCCTTCGACAGCAGTTTGATACGCATCCTCATGGTAAAACAGGGTTCATTTAAAAGAGACGCCTTCTTTCAAGCAAGTGCAGGCAGTCGTTGGGCTCCAGTACCTATGTGGGTCACTACTGACGATAAGAATTTTAGCGGTGCTCTGTATTACTGCGAATAAATCAAAGTCCGAGGCGAGAAGAGACGCATAAACTAACACAAAAGTAGGAATACTAGCCCTATCGTTTGCACATGCCACAAACTTCACCCTTCCAACCTTTCACTATATTATATTTTTTATTTTATTTTAGTATGTATATATTTTTGTCGTACAATATCCTTTTGCCGTTTATGTGCAGATGTAATTCGGGGATGTCCTATCACACAAAGCACAAACATATCTCCGTACCTTTGCTTTGACATCGGAATACAGGTATCTTAGTATTTGTATTATAGAATACATCCCCGAGTGTCTCTTCTCAGGCTTGAGTCACGCCAGGACAGGCAGAGATACTCGCAAAAGTAATACAGTGGTTTTCTCGCAAATGAAGGTGTGTGGCGCTACACCGGATGCTTGGTAAGAAAGCAGGCAATTGCGCACGGCGTATTTAGAAAATGTGAATGCGTTTCGTTGATTTTTTTTAATCATATCAGGAACTTATTTCAATTCCTGTTCGAGCTTCGTTCATGCAGAATGCATGGGATCAAATACAAGTCTAAGTTGACCAATCTATAGTCCAATATTTTTGTTTGTTTTACCTACTTAAACTGGCAAGCGTTTAAAGGGTTTTATTTCAATTCGCCCAAAATATTTCATGAGACTGATAGGAACCCCTCGGTCCTTTTAGTATACAGGTTCTCTCTTCCCCACCACAGTGTGTAGGTATACTTAGAAGTCCTGTTAGGAG